CCCCCCCCAAAAAAAAAACAGTTGAACTTGAATGAGTGATAGATGCCTTCAATCTACTTGGAAATGCATAAAAAGTAAAATGGATTGATGATGGAAAGCTGATAGATAGGAGATCAAGGAAATGTGGTGAAATGTTAATCCAGATGGCGGGTACACAGGTATTCACTATAACATATTTTCAAGCTTGCCTTATCTTTAAAAATTTGTACCATGAAATTTTGGGAAAAGAGATTCCTAATCCAGAAAAAAGTCCATATTTAAAAATCTAAATGTAAACACTATAAACCTTTCTTTGCTGTTTCCAATAATTTGTAATAGGCTTTAAAATCTTTAACCTGCAGATTTATTTTTGTATTTTTTACTCAGTATTGTATTACAGTTTTCTTTTGCCAAAAATTTTTTATGGAACTTTGGAGTCACAATATTATTTGTATACAGTGAAATTCACACTTTGCAGTGCACAGTTCCATTAGTTTCAACAAATGCATGGTCATATGACCACTCCCATGACCAAAGCATGGAATAGATCCATTATTCTGGAAAATTCCTCCGTGCCCTTTGTTGGTCAGTTTCTCTTCCCATCTCCTGTTCGTGGCGATGTTTCCCAGAAGTCTGTGCAGTAGAACCATGTGGTCCACATGGTGTGTGGCCTGGGACTCCAGCTCCTCTCCCGTGTGACTGCTTCCTGGTGCCCCTGTGTGTCCAGGTAGTCCATTCTGTCATAGTGAGGAGCCATGCTTTGCTAGAGGGATGCTCACTAGTGTCATTTAGGGTTTGTTCTACTGATGTTTTCTTTGCTGAGTGGCTGTCGCAGCATTTCTTCTTTGTCATTCTGCACCTCATTGTGGTGGGCATCTCCATGCGTCGTTTTGTTATCGGTTGCCTCTTTAAAGTAGATCATGAGGAAAGAATTACTAAATGATGCATTTGTGAAGTCTTTTATACATTTTTTAGCCATGCAAGTGTTTCTCCATGTGTCTTAGGTATACCAAGCAGGACTTAAAAGTGCACTAGCGTTTCTAACCCTCTTCCCTGCCCCTCTTTCTGATACCATCATTGTAGAGCCAACCTGAAGTTTCAGCGTCCTCAGCCAACTCTCCAAATCCTAAGTCATGGAGGTGAATCAGGAGACATCACTCTTCTTGGTGAAGATCTTAGAGGAGTTGGACAGCAAGCAGAGCACCGTGTCCTACCAGGACCTGTGCAGGTCTCTGTGCACCCGCTTCGATCTGTCCCAGCTCACCAAACTGAGAAGCATGCTTTACTACACCGCCTGTCTCGATCCCAACTTCCCAGCCACGTTATTCAAAGACAAGATGAAATCCACTGTGAACAACCAGCAGTCCAAGAAGATCATGGTGGCAGCAGATATCGTGACAATATTCAACCTGATCCAGATGAGTGGGGGCGCCGCCAAGGAGAAGCTGCCCACGGGCCGCCCCAAGGTGCGCAAGAAGGGGGCCTCCTTTGAATCATGCAGGTCAGACACAGAGGTCTGCGGTGTGGCTGAGTGTGAGCCCCTGACCTGTGAGCTGAGCGAGAGGCCCTTCGGCCGTGGCTACCCCACCCGGCAGTCAGCCGGGTGCCGGAAGAGGGACCGTGAGGGCTGTCCACAGTTCATCCCCGCCTCCGAGCCCAACTTCCTGCTGGGTGTCAGCAAGGAGGGCAAGAGCAGGGCCTCCTCCCTCGACAGACTGCAGGCCCTGGCACCCTACCCAGTGGCCAGTCCACAACCCTGCGAGATGCAGAGGACATACTTCCCCATGAACCTGGAGAGCGAGTCCGTGTCGGACCAGGAGCCCCTGCCTATCAGCCAGGGCCACGAGGAGACCTTCAGCCCCGCCCAGGAGCCCTGTGTGGTCCCGTCCTGCGTGCAGAAAAGGAACATCTTCAAGGAGGACTTTCACAACCTCCTGCCAGTGTCTCCCAGCTTGGTTGGGCCAGGCAGCAAGGCAGGGGGTGAGCACAGGGAGCCCCAGGGCCGGAAGGAGCACCACAAGCCACCCTTCTTCAATCACAGCTTTGAGATGCCCTACCACAGCCAGTATCTGAACCCCATGTACTCCCCTGTGCCCGACAAGCGGCGGGTGAAGCATGAGAGCCTAGACGATCTCCAAGCCTCTACCTACTTTGGCCCCACTCCAGTGATGGGGACCCAGGACCCTAGGCACTGTCTGGGGAGGCCCAAGCAGACTCCCTGGCCGGCCAAGAGCTGGAGCCTGAATGCCGAGGAGGTCCCAGACTGTGAGCGGTCCTTTTTCAACAGAAATCCCTCCGAGGAGAAACTACACTACCCGAACCCTAGCAGCCAGACCCCCAACTTCTCAGTCCCAGACAGGCATCCAGCTTACTTGATGCCAAAGGAGCCACAGCCAATTCTACCTGTCAGCTATGCAGCCAAGCCCCAGGAGCTCTCCTCCCCCATTGACCTGGAGAAGTGCGAACCTCCGAAGAAGCTCAAGGACAGGAGCACCGGCTGTAGCAGCCGGCAGGTCAGCTCTGACACCAGCAGTGTGGGCACGCAGACGGAGCAGCACACACTGGAGCCCAAGACGTGCAAAGAGCTATGTGTGGCAGCCCAGGGCAAGTACGGAGACAGACACTCCGGGAAGCCCTCAGATGAGGACTCCGAGGTCGTCAGTGACGACATCAGTGACATCTTCCGGTTTCTTGACGACATGAGCGTCAGTGGCTCCACTGGGCTGATACAGTCGTCCTGCTACAATAGCACTGGGTCCCTGTCTCAGCTGCACAAGTCGGACTGTGACAGCTCCCCGGAGCGCAACCTTACCAGAATCACCAGCAGGGGCCCCAACAGCAAGGCAGACAAGGGCAGCCGGCCTGAAAACCTGCACCGCTCAGAGGAGGAGCTGAAGACCAGCGTATGCAAACTGGTGCTCAGGATTGGGGAGATAGAGCGGAAGCTTGAGTCACTGTCTGGCGTCCGAGAGGAGATCTCCCAGGTCCTGGGCAAGCTGAGCAAGCTGGACCAGAAGATGCAGCAGCCAGAGCAGGTACATGTGCAGATGGATCTGAACTCTTTGACCAGCGAGGCCCCATCTGATGACAGCACTTCCCCCAGGGTGTTTCATGCCCGTGACAGCACCCACACACCCAAGCTGGAGCCCAGCACGGAGTGGTGCTGCTCGGATGCCAGCGGCAGCAACAGTGAGAGCCTGCGGGTCAAGGCCTTAAAGAAAAGCCTGTTCACTCGGCCTTCATCCAGGTCGCTGACTGAGAACAGCGCCACTGAGTCCAAAATTGCTAGCATCTCCAACTCCCCCCGGGACTGGCGCACCATCACCTACAGCAGCCGCGCGGGCCCCAGCGAGGAGGAGGTGAAGGATGCCAGCCCAGGTGACACCAAGGACTGGCACCGGAAATCCAAAGAGGTAATACGCTTGTGTCTGAGCTCTTGGCACAGCTCAAGCACAGCCTTGGTGTGTGTCCAAGCTGAGAGCTTTGCACTAAGCCAGAGTGAGGCTGACCTGCCTATACTGGTCATCTCTAGACTGGCTGGCTTTCCCTAAGCCGGGGTGACCCGGGCCAAGCTGTCAGTCAGCCATGTGGACTCACACTGCGATTCTCGGTGCAGACGGTGTGCTTGGGCAACAGCGCAGGTGGCATGAGGCTTTCGTAGAAGGCAGTGTGCTGGGCAGCTGGGGACTGTCACGGACAGCTTCCTGTACTGCTGAGACCATGCAGGCCAGCAGGAAGTGCTGACCTGCCCATTTTGTGTGTTTGCTACATACCAGATGTTCCTTTTTTAAAGTAGAATATGTGTTTTCATTAGATGATAGCTGATTGGTAAGAAGAGAAGGCGAATAAAGCAAAAACTCATCATTCCAGCATGTAAAACTGCTTGCTTGTAGTCTGTGATCTTCCTCTCCTTTCTAGTTTTCCTCCCCTGCATGGTGGTGTGTTCTGCGCTTTGCACATGTGTGAGGTGTTTGCACTGCCCCACACCCCCATGCCACAGAGGATCATTCTAGCAGGACCCATGGCTCCTGCCCTTTGTTCCCCCTGGGCTCTGGTGAGCCCCTTCTGGCCACTCTAGTCTGTTGCTGGTCTCTCTTCTCATCTCTGCCCCCATCTAAAAGGTCACCGGCCACACTTCTAAAGGTCATGGGCTGCCCAGCAAGGAGAGAGCTGTGCCGCTCAGGCCCAGGAGACTGTGTCTTTCCATGGTGCCAAGGAAAAAACAACTGGGAAAACTGGGTTCTGCATAGCTGCAGGGTCCAGAGCAGTGAGACAAGCCCAGGAAGGCGGCATGTGTTTCCCTGACCCAAACACATCCTGCGGTCACAAAGCTGAAGTCTTTGACCCTCTGGAGGGTGACGTCTGTCCCTCAGATGAGGTGCCCGGCCCTGTCCCTGAACTCTGTCCCTGCTCTAGCTCAGGCCAGGCTCCTGGAGCCCACATAGCATGGACAGCAGCACGTAGGGCACTTGTGTGCTCTTCAGGAAGCTCAAGTGTGACGAAAACAAGGTCACAACCTCACCAGGCGTCCTCCTCAGTGCACTGCTTTTACCTGGTTTCCTTTTGTGGCCCCCGTGTCCTCGTGGCTGTCCCCTGCTCCAGGCTGGTGCTTCCCACACTGGAGCCTAGCGCGGGCCACTCTGAGCCTTCACCGCGAACTGAAGGCCTCTGCTCTCCCGCGCATGCCTCACACAGGACTGTCCCATGGGTTCCAAGCCCATGCCCCTCCTTGTTACCCCTTTGCTGGGGTCCCCACTGTCTGCATCCAGGTGGGACTCTCATGTGGATTCTGGACCCAGTGGTCCCATCTGAGATGCCCCTTGCATCCTGCCTCCTTCCATTGAATCCCCGCCTGTGGGGCCATCATACAGCCCGAGGCTTGAGGCTCCCTGCCCGTCTAGCCCCGCTCGGGGCTACTGGGTTCATACTCCCCCAGCTTCTTCCTGCTGCTGGGGAGGAGCCCTGTTCTCAACACCTGCTTGGCCTTCCTGTCTTTGCTGTACAGGAAGATGTCAGACTCCGTAGCCTGGATGCACAGCCTCAGATATTCTGCCCCCAGCCCACATACTCTGCCCACCCTGAGCCCTGCTACCCCCCTGCCACCCAGTTGGTGGTGCCGATCACGTATGTTGTGTCTGGGCCCCCTCTACCTCCAGAGTTCCTCCATCAAGAATGGCAGTCCCAGCTGGGTGTGGTGGTGCACACCTGTAATTCCACTACTCAGGGACGCTGAGGCAGGAGGTTCCCAAGTCCAAGTTCAGCCTGGGCCACGTAGTGCCTTGGCAAGACTCTGTCTCAAAATTTGAAAAAGGCAGGGGAGTGCAGCTCAGTGTGAAGGCTCTGGATTCAGTCGTTGGCACTAGGAAAAAAGAAAAGAAAGGGTGGCTCTGGTCCCTCTTTGCTGACCTGAGCCCTCTGTCCTCTTCTTCCGAGAGTCTCTGGAGCCTGCTGGCCTCTGTCCAGATAGTGCCGCTGCAGACAGGGATCGGAGCTCCTGCACTGTGTGCATAAGGCAATGCGAGGGACAGCACAGAATCCTCAGTGCTGCCGCCGCCGCCGCAGCAGCAACAGTAGCGGGAGCCCTGCGTTACCAGTCCTGCCCAGCCCTGGGCAGCTGTGCGGCCTATTGGCCTCTCACCTCTCTGACCTGAGTCTCCACACCTGTGGCGGGGATTGTGGCAGAGAAGATGCAAGGAGAGGACTGTGTCTGGTTCTGCGCAGGTGGCAGGGCCCGCCAGCCCCACAGGGTGTCATTACTTCCCGGCCCCTATTGTGCTGGCCACAGGCACAGTGGCAGCCGCACAAGGGTGGGGCGGGGAGGATGCCAGCTGCTAATGTCTGCAGGGTGCCCTGGGGCTTAGAGCAGCAGCGGGAAAGAACCTCATCGCTTCTTGGGCTGTTGCTGAGTTCATCTGTGCTCTCTGGCCAGTGTCCCTGAAGTTGCTGCAGAAGGCCCCATGGTCTGTGGGGACAGCAGTGGACTACTATGAGCAGAGCGCTGGCCTGTGCCTGCCAAGACCTTGCACTCCTCCTCTGCCCCCCCCCCCATGTCCTCATGTCTTCGTGTGCCCTTCCTTTTTCCTTCCCTTACTGTTGGGCAGCTCTGATTCATAGACCAGCTTTCTGTCTGTGTCTTCAAGGCCTCCAGTGAATGGCGAGGGAAGGGGTTCTGCACAGTGGCATGGCTTTGTATCAAGAACTGAGTGAGTCATGGGCCACCCAGCCTGGCGGGAGATGGATGGGCAGTGGGCATTGGCCATTCAGTGTGGCACGCATTAGCTGAGGGTCTCTACCAGTCCCAAGACGACACATGGGGCAGCCCCATCTGGGTCTTAAGGGCCAGGGAGGACTTGAACCGGGGGCTGGGGGTGGGGTAAGCATGGAGATCTGAGGCCAGAAGGCAGAAGGAGAGGCATTGGTGACCCTGTTCAAACTCTGAGGACACCCACCGCGTACTGTGGCCAGGATGAATGGTCAGGCTGAAGGTGCTGCTCCAAGGCTGGAAGCCTCTGTTCTGCTGGGGACAGCGGAGCATTCCTGCAGCACACTACTCCCTGTCTGCTCCTGAACACCTGCATGCTGCTTGCTTGGCATTAGCAGGGCCTTGTGACACAAAGCTGCTGGCTGCCCTGTGGCACTGCGAGAGCCGTGCTTCTTGTCTTCTTTGTCCCCTGCAGGCCGACAGGCAGTACGACATCCCCCCACAGCACCGCCTGCCCAAGCAGCCCAAGGACGGCTTCCTTGTGGAGCAGGTGTTCAGCCCCCACCCCTACCCCACATCCCTCAAGGCCCACATGAAGAGCAACCCCCTGTACACAGACATGCGGCTGACAGAGCTGACGGAGGTGCGGCGGGCACAGCCCTCCTGGACAGTGGAGGATTTTGCGCGCCATGCCGGGGACAAGAGCAAGCTGGCAGCCCTGGACCTGCAGGTGAGCCTTCTGTCTCTGTCCACGGGTGCAGGAGTGGCCGGGGCAGCCCAGGCCAGTGCACTCCCTACCCTTGAACTTCTGGGCCCTGCCATGCAGTGCTGAGCCTTAGTGAAACAGGGAACAGAGCAGACTTTCGACAAGAGGATGCTGTTCTGCTTAGCTCTTTGTGAACCCTTAGCAGCGGGGATGCTTGCTGTGTCTGTTTACTTGCCTGCTGGCCACCCGATTAAGACCAAGTGCAGATTATAATCTTTCTCACAAGACCTGAGCCAAGCAGCTTCATGAGGTGCCAGCCGCTCTCTCCCTCCCTGTGTAGCAGTGGGATAAGCATGTCTGTGGGAGCCAAGCCACATGGAGCAGACCCAGATAAGAGCCATCCCTGGGGGACCTGGGCATGCCTCTGGCTAGGGGGCCGGCAGGGCTGGGTCTGGGACACGTGCAGATTGTGCTGCACAGCTCCTGGCTCCCCCTCACACATCTCCTGTGCCTCCACATCACCGTGACCCCCAGGAAGCACCTGTCCGAGCCTTGGGCGAGGCTCTGGGCAGCGAGGCCACAGCACCAGTGGTGCCAGTTCACACCCAGCATCATGCACACTTGAGGCACAGCTGCTGAGGGCTTTCGGGAGGGGTGGTGTGGGGAGGGCCCTTGCGGCCAGGACGTGAGGCGGAGGTCTGTGCAGAGGAAGGGGTTTGAAGCCAAAATATTTTATGTTCTGTTGGAGCTTCTTACCTAGGAGGTGCCTTGATTTGCAGCAGAAGCGTCTGAGAAACGGGAACTGACCTGCAGTCTTGTGAAGGCCTTGCTTCCAACGGTCTGCCCCAGGATGCTAGGGGCACGGTGCTTTGCGACGATTCCATTCTTCCTCGGCATCAGGGCCAGCCTGTCCTTGGTTGCCCATGCTGGGGTTTGCAGCCTTGTTTGTCCCAACCCTGTTTTGCTTGCTTACAGACCAGAGACCTCTGATGCTCCCTGTGTCAAATCAGCATGGCATTTTGAGTAATGGAGGGTTCCAGGGCCATCCACAGTGTGCGGCTGACTCGGTACTAGCTGTGGAGGGCCCAGAGCTGCCGGGGCTTCCTTCCTGGTGCAGTCACTGCCAGCCCCAGCTGCAGACAGCTCAGTGTGTTAGGAGTGACAACTGTCAGAAAGTCTGTGACCTGGTTTCAAGTACTCATCATGTTCTAACGTCTTCTCTTCGCTTCTAGACACAAGAATCTTTAAATCCAAATAACTTAGAGTACTGGATGGAAGACATTTACACTCCAGGTTATGACTCACTACTGAAACGGAAAGAAGCTGAGTTCAGGCGGGCCAAGGTCTGCAAGATCGCTGCTCTGATCGCCGCAGCCGCATGCACGGTCATCCTGGTCATTGTTGTGCCCCTCTGCACCATGAAGTCGTGAGCCCGAGGGCCGGCACTGTGTGCAGCACTGGCAGCTGGTGTCTTCCTCTGTATTTTGAAAGCTTGCAGCTGTGACCACAGTTTACTGAAGTGAAGATGAAATCCTGGAAGCTTTCTGCAGATGCTGAAGGTGGTATTCAGAGTGTATATACTCTAGCGAGACATCTGCCTATTAGCTTTGACATAATTACACCCTTGATGCATTTCTAGAAGTGCAATATCTTTTCTTACCAAAAGAATGTAATGGACTATCAGTAAACCCAAATTGAATATTTTAAGCAAAAAAAGGAAGATTAATTGGGTTCTTCCCATTGGGTGGCATTTAAGGTGGATATAAATTATATAGAGGTTATTCAATCCATGTCTCCTTGGGTACGCCAGGAGATGGGGAGAGAAGGAAACAAGGGTGGGATGTTGCCCCCTCTGCAGCCACTGCTGTGCAGCCCAAGGTGTGTCCTGCATGGACCCGACTTCTCCCAAGGGCTTCTTGCCCTTCTCAGCACTGCGGCACATCTGCCTCACTGCAGAGCTTCCCGGTGCAGGCTGGACCTTCCTCCTTGTGCCCAGGGACAGAAGGAATGGGCTTGCCAAGCCAGGCATGGTCCAAAGTGTGCTCTTTCTGTGGAACAGGCCAAGTGTGCAGCAGCCACTCACTGCTGGTGGAACTTGGGGTGTCTCAGAAGTCACAGCCACCCCCAAGGATGCCTCTTTCCTGCTTTAGCGTGTGGCCCCACACCTTGAGTCTCTGTCCCAATGGTATCAATGCCCTATTCTGAAGTGTGGAGCTTGTCCTTGTGCCTTGAAGAGCAGAGACAACAGCGGGATGCTGACATTATGACCATGGTTTCCATGGCTTTCCCAGTGGCTCTAAGAGATGTTGGAAGCTCGTTCAGCAACATGATACTGGCCCTGAGGTCTTCTCAGCCACCCAACACCTACTCAACAGTCTGAGGCACTTGTCAGCAGTGCAAAAAATAGCATCTATTTAATCGTTTATCTAGCTACACATCTGTCTGGGTCCCTAATTTTTGTTTATGTCTTCTGTGTTAAGTAACTGGAGAACAAGCTTTCCCAGTGTACAGGAAGCTGCTGTAATTTTGTCAGAGGGTGATCCCGTTCCATGTGCGGAATGGTGCTTTGATAATAACCAGGCAGAACAAGCCCTCACCAACATCTGCATCTCATGTCTTGTTACGTGTTACAGAAAAAACGATTGGCAGAAACGAGCAACCTAAAATTCTTCTGATTACAAAGTTAAGATGTGTGTTAATTTGCACAGGGTAGTCATGCTGTATGGAATGATGAATTCCTGCAGGTGGTTTGGAAGGCATCTCAATTTTTACAGCAATAGGAGTCCAGCATTCAACCTAAAGAATCCCAGACAGCGCTTAGCCTCCTGTATCTAAGCCACCATCCCGTTATGGGGCAGTCAGTGCAGGTTCTGATGCTAACAAAGGACAGACGCTGTCATCGGTAGGAGCCCTTATGTTAGAGGTCTTTGTGTTATCTATTTCTATTTTTCACACTTATGTGTGATTTTTCAATTAGGTAACTGAAGCTTAAGTCTTAGTGTGGAGGATTTATAATTGAAAATGAAAACATCTATATATTATTGTCTGTTGCCAGAGATTTAGTCTTGTGGTGCTCTGCTTTCTATGGGGTACGTCAAATAATGTTGTTTCTTTCACACCAAAGAAGGTACTAGTTGGCACCCTTGGGAGTGACTAGCCCCCTCCAACCAGCGAGACTCAGTGCCACACCAACCCTGCTCGCTGCTCCCTGTCGTGGAGTGGGCTGGCAGAGCGTGGCTGGCACCTCCCAGCCTCCCCCAGTGCTTTGCAGAATGTAGAGCTATACTCACTAGGGTAAGACAGATCTCATTGCACCCAATCTGATTTCCGTCTAGCAGGGGCCCTTAGGGGCTGGGCCAAACTGCTCTGTCACTGCCTGTGGGTGACACTGTTCCGCAGAGTCCTATCTGGGACACGTGCCTAGTTATCTCCAAGGTGAGGAGAAGCCCGCCTCAAGCATGGAAAGGGGAGGGCACTACAGAATTTTCCTCCGCCCTTTCCATGTGGTGCAAGTAGCCAGAGAAATATAGTCTTGCCCTAAGTACAGCATGTGCATACAATTCGGCTCACAATTCTTGCCGCCTAGTGGAAGCATCCGGACCTGGTAATGCCCTGGGGGAGCAGTAACAGGGCCAAAGAGAAGGTGGGCACTGTGTCTGGTGTGGAAGGGTGGCCTTTGCCATGCTCCAGCTCACAGATGCTTGGGGTCTGGGGAATCTGTAGAAGGTGACGCCACTCTCCTTGCCCCAACCCCACCCACCCGCTGCTCCGCCTCTCCCACAGCTTGCAGAGAAGATTAAGACTGAATCTGGCCAAGAAGCAAGCAGCTGTCCGTTCCGCTGACGCATCAGCGACAAGGGCTGTACTGCCTCCCTCCTGGGGCTGTCTTCCACCACTCTGGCGTTGTCACGTAAAGTACAGTTCCTTCTACTCAAGTCTTATACACTACACAATCGAAATTCTTATCATTTTTCTTGCATAAAAAAAAAATCAGGTGGTCTTAGTGAATGGGATTAGTTTAAAATCAAATGTCCTTAGCCAGTGACTAAATACAGAATTATTCTTTTTTAATCTGATTTTTGTTTTGAACACAGCTTTGCAGAAAAGCCAAAAAGAAAGAAAGAAAATTTCCCAGCTTGTGGATTTCAGATATTTTATACCAGTACTGCCTTGTGTAGCCTGGAAGTACAGTGGAGCTGGTCATACTTGCGTCACTCAATACGCACGTCATCAGTGCTGTAGGGCACGCAGCTGGCTCAGTGCCTGGTACCTGCAAGGTGAGTTCAGGCCGTGCGTTCAGGCACTACCCTAGATGTCTGTGCCGCAGCCAGATACCCTTACTGGAATCCAGGAAGTGTGCTTTTTGTTTACAGTGACACTTCATTGTTTGTTTTTAAACAAAAAACCCTCTGCCAAGAGTAAAATATTCTATTAAGTGGCAGAAAAATTTGTGAATGTTGAAATTCAATGTGCATCATATTATAACCAACCTGCAAGAATACTGTGATCAATTGTGTGAATACTAAATCAATATATACTGTATATCATACCACAGAAATTTGTATTTAAAGGCAGAGATACAAGAAATTGCTGGCATACCTAGGGTAAGCGGTATTAGCTATTTATTCCGTGACAGTGAGAAATGCAACAAACTTCCTTATTTATGCCTTATGAACAAAAGAGTGTGAAGTACAAGTGGAGCAGGCCTCTGGGATGGGTGTCCTCGAAGGCAGGGACCTTGTCTTTTCTGTGTTTGTTCTGTACAGCTCTCGGCACACTCTTGGTGCTTGATAAACGTTATATAATTCCAATAATGAAGCACATTTTTAGATCTTTTTTCAAATGGCTTGTGTAAATTTGGTTAATGTACAATGGTTGGTTTGAAGCTATCATGTAAAATCTGCCTCTCCAAATATAATTAAAAATAAACTGGAAGCTATAAACTATCTTGCAGTAAGATTTTATTCTGTGTACAGACCGTTAGTGCTGAGCTTCATGCATACGGTGAATGTCCACTTTGCTTGTTTCACAAACTGGAAAATTCCATGGAATCAGCACCAGAGCAAAACTAGGGCCTCTGAGCACCCAGGCCACCCTCCAGCTAAACACCCTGCAAGGAAAGTGCCCCACTCTCTAGGGGGCAGCTTAGCCTCGTGGCCCCGGAGCAGGGCGGACTCTGTGCCTTCACGCTGACCTCGATGTTGGCGAGACCCCCATGCCGCAGCCGCGGGCCTCGCACCCCACTCGGCCCCTCCTTGTGATGCATCGTGATTTATCCAGTCGCAGAGTGGATGTTTGTGTGGCACCTGCGTCAGGCTCTCTGTGTTCTGGTCCGTGTCCTTTCGTAACTCAGTCACCAAGGAGGGAAACTGCCGTGCTGTGAGACACACTAGCGTTCTGCTTTTGTGTCACTGCTAGCACCGTGGTCAGCACAGCTCCGCTCCGTGGCTCTGTGGCAGGACATGTGGAGGTCCCCTTTCTCCATGTACAGTCAGCACTTGTTGGTGTCTTCCATTTCTGTCTTTCTGCTCCGTGTGTAGGGTAATCTCATTGTGTTTTTAATTAGCATTTTTCTGATGACTAATTAGATTTGCTACTTTTTATACTGGCAATTTAGATACTCTGTTTTGCAAAGTGCTTGTTTATGTTCATATCTAGTTTCCTACTGGGTTGTGTGTTTTTCTTTATCTACTATAGAAATGAATCATTTGTCTGGTAGATCACAAATATTTTTTCCTTCCGTGAACTACATTTTTTACTGTCTTCATGGTATCACTTTGATGAATGGAAGTTCTTGATTTTAACATAGACATTCACCAGGTTTTCCACTGTGATTGGCAATGTAGTCTTTACATAGCCTTGAAGAAAGATCACGAGGATGCTCCAAGTTCTGTTCTAGAAATTCTGTTTTGTTTTGTGTGGATCTGTGCTCCTGCTGGGATTCGTATTTGTACCTGATGAGAAGCAGGAGGTGAAGCTGTTTGTTTCCCACTTGATTACCCACCAATCAGGGCCGCCCAGTAGCTGTGGGGCTCCTTTTTCTCTCCAGCAGCCAGTCCTTTCGTTTCACTAAGCCAGCCCAGCGTAACCTCCTCCCAGAGGCACTCGGGTGGGCTGGCCCCGGCGCAGCAGGTGGCACTGACAGGGCGGCCATCTCAGCTCCTTTCTTACAGATGAAGTCGCAGCAAGGAGGTGAAGGACGGTGAAGAGAGAACGTGGCAGCTCCCTAATCCCTTCTACCATTTAAAAATGTCACCAGCTTCACTGCTTGAGTCATTAAGGAAAAGTAATTACTTTAAGCATGAGTCACAGCACATTGCAAAAAGCAATTAATATCTTGACATCTAAACACAGAGAGAAATCTCTGACAAGATCCCGGAGAATGTCAGGGTAACTACCCAACAGTGGGTATAAGACTGCCTTTTAGTTTTGCAGTAAAGTATTAATTCAGACTCATGGATTCAAAGTTTGCATTCAGCTGGGCTGGATCTAGATGGAATGTTAAGTGCTTTGAAAAAGTGAAGAAATAATGTGGAAGTTGTCTTGAAGAAAAAAATGTTTATCCTCTCAAAAAGGACAAATCAATATGCAATATGCTATGGTAAGGCGTTTTAATCTATTGTTACTTTACCCAACTAGCAAAAGTCAATACTTGGCTAAGTTACTTCACACTGTTGAGTGTACTTCTTAAAAAAGCACA